CCAATGTGTCATACTAAAGACATGTAGCATGTTAAGATAAAGTTATATAAATTCTGACTCTTTTCTAGAGGTCAAGGAAGATTTTTTTGCTAGGCAGTCATATTCTAACAGAAAGATCACTTGCAAGAACTTGCAAAAACATTTAATTTTACTGCAAAATACCTGCACTGCCTGAGGCTGGTACAAAGAACAGATCAGAATTTGGCTCTAAAGATGTATCTTCTATGAACAAAACTCTTATCAGTTGTCTTWTTAATAAACTAATGATTAAAATTTCTGCCTATTTACAACATACTAAAACATTAAAATGAAGTAACACTTGCTTTATATTCAAGACACAATTCTTAATTAATCAAACCTGCTGCACAGCCTGTACAACAGTGGGGAAAATTAAAAAACAGAAAAAAGTCAGCACATTACAAATTCTAGTGGGCATGCAACTGCACCCTGCTAATATGCCTGCAGCTCTGCTGCTCTGAGCTGTGCTCTTGGGGTTTCCAGCAGCCAAAGCCAAGATTAACACTCAGATGAAGGGCAAAAGAGGAGGAGGCTGCCAGCAGAAATCTCTAGCAATTTAGTAAGTGATGTAGACCCCTCTTCACGATATTGCCAAGTAAGTGTCCCAGAAAAGCAGATACTAAACTGCTTACACCACAGTTGTCAAGGTCACATCAAAGTAGAAAGCCCACTAACCACTCCTGGAGGCTCCCTTTTGCAGTTTGCAAAATAGAGACTGTTGATCGCAGTTTTGGCTGAATTCCAGTTTGGTTAATTAGCTTTCATGTAGTCACTTCCTTCCTGCAGTTCATGGTTTTTACTATTGCTAAATGCTATTAAAATACTGTTAAGTCAAACTATGGAGAGGAGATGGGGAACATGAGGGAATGAAGAGCAAAATATTTCCGAGCTACAGAATTTATGAAATACTGTTGGAAAACTTGGGGGCAAAGTACTGCTGTCATGAGTGGCTATCAGGCAATTACAAGTTAAAGAACCATCAAAATGTTGTACAAACCTGTCAAAACACTCCCAAGTAAACAACACTAAGAAAATCTCATTAGTAATTATGTACTTACTTATAGATGTCCAACTATACTTCATGAAAAAGAACCAAGTGCTATTCTTGATACAGATTTCCAACTTTCTGTTCAAACTGTAGGACAAGATAGGGTCCAAGATATTCTTTAGTTTCTAGCAGGGTGTACATTTTCTTGCATCTGCATCAGATCTTCTTTAATCACTTACTATTTTATATAGAGAACTGTATTTAAAAAGAAGAGTACAGAAAACACAGGGTTCGATGTTAGCTTAAATTCATTTCAACAGATYCTGCCTTAAAATGTGAAACTCCTTCATTTGTAACCAAGGGCAGCATAGCAGCAAGCTGTAATCCAAATAAAAACAAATAAACAAACAAAGCACCCACGKAACACCAGCACATTCACACTCTTTGCAACACAAACAGCCCCCCCAGTTCCTCTCAGCAAGCTAGGGTTACGACTCATACCATCACACACAGCTTTTTGGAAAATTATCCCAAGCATCTAATTTGACTGTATTTTACTAGTGCTTTCAACACCCATAAGGACTGCATCTTCTCTTTCTCCAGATAATCTCAGTCTTTAGCACTTTATTCCCTGAGATGCTCTGGGTGAATTCTGAGCATGAAGAGCTTAATGCTCTACAGGAAGGGATCTGATAGCAGAGGTGGGCTGGGAAGTGGCTAATGGGGTTTCTAAACAGATAAGTTGTTTGTCAGGTGGGAATAGTCGTAAAAACTAAAGCCAAACCTCATGTTAGGATGTTGGCATTGGGGATGGTCCAAGCTCTTCTGAATGCTGTAAGAATTTTAGAAAGTATCAGAACTTCTTGGAAGGGAAAACAAGTCATGAGCACAAGCAGCAGCCCTGAGCACCACAAACTCCTTAGCTGGAGTATCTACAAATCCCAAAATAAGATCACAGCAAGTTGGGGTGAGTTCTACAAATCCCAAAATAAGATCACATGGATCTGTCCAGGGACAGAGCTAGACAAGATCACAGCTCTCCAGTGCTTTCAGTTACAGCATGCAGCCTTCCCAAGGGAAGCTTTGAGACAGGAAATGTCTCATTTTGCACACAGAAGATTACACCTTTCAACAGCTCGCTTCCCTACCACTGAAATAAGGCAATGGAGTTTGCAGTACATTTTCAGCAGGATTTATATTTTAAGTTCAACCATGTACATGTGGATCTATATTCTTTGAAGATAAATCCACATGTACAGGCATTAAAAATATAAATTCTTACAACTGCAAATCTTGGAGGTTGCTCTTGCTTCAGTGACTCATACACATTTCTGTATTTAGGAAAAATGTTCCCCATGCAAGCACACACATCACAAATGCAAACATCTGCATGCATACGTGTGTCTGCTCAAAATTCCAGCTCAAAATAGAAAAAGCTGCAAAATGGCCTGAATCAACCAAAAAGTCAGTTTAACATCTATCGACCAATTCTTAMCTACTCTGCATTATAATAAAAGGATATGTCAAAATCCAGAATCTAATTGTAACACAAATACTGATAAGGATTTATCTTAAAATGTGAAGTCTGCCATATACTCATGCCACACAAATCATGCCCTGCTTGAATCAATGAAATTATCACCTGGTCATAAGCAAGACCTCCGTTATCTCAGACTGGAAGGAATGTCAGGCTGGTTCAGACCTTTGTTTTGATACTTCCCCTGTATTAGGCCAACCCAGAAGAAAACTGTCTAGAACCTGTAAGAGAACAGGGACTGAAACTTCCAGGTGTGTAACCCAACATCAACTAGACTCAAAACAAAAAGATGCAATGCAAGTTTCTTTGGATTTAAAGGTTTCTCCACCTTACACTCAATACTCAGGATCTGCTTTCTTTGGCAACAACTAAATCCTATGAATCAAAACCAAAAAAAGTCACACACAGCAGGATCCAGCCCACATTATGTCAGTCAATTTAGAAGTTGAGCACATTATCTTTTAGGTTCTCTTCATCTAGTGACCCGGAAGCAATAAGCAGCCTCCAGGAGGTGAGTCAGTCACATGTTTAAGAAACGTCTCACAGGAATGCCCATCTCCAGCCACTGACTATAGAAGGAGAACTACAGAGAGCTCAGACTAAACATCCAACTGGAAGCTGACAAAGATTATTTCTCAGACATGGAAATGAATACACCAAAACAGTTTAAGAGCCTTATGGTTGTGCTGCAAGTGTTTATAGGTTTTCTAAATTCAGAGTTGTGCTATTTAGGCACTGGTGTTATTTATACTAACAAAGCAAGTAGAAAAATTAAACTTTAAGGTACACCTAATTGAATAAGTATATATAACTTTCCTTTTCCCTCATCACCCAAATAAAAACATCAGCTGATCTGGCACAGGAGAAAATACTTTACTATGAAGACACATAAAAACTTGGGTTTCAAAGTTGAGATTTACACAGCAGGTGATATACTTTCCCACACATTTTTGCTAAAACAGCACAGAATTCTAAATACCTATTTGTATTATCATCAGAAACACAGTGTTTAGGAAATCCTGTTAGTCTTTTACAACAAAATCACAGAAAATAAGAACCCAACAGATTCCGTTTCACCAGAGGCAGAAATTGCTCTTCAGTCACTAAACATGGCAAATCTCAAGCAAATTTCTATTTCTCCTAGATACTTTTGAGTTCTTGATATAACTAAAAGCTGAAAGCAAAGGCACTCCACATGCAGTAAACAAAGCAGTTTAGACATATTTTATGTCTCAATTTCATTATATATACAGACATATATATAGCAAGGCATTTAGTAATGCTTTACAACTAAGTTTTCAATGTACTCCTGCATTTTGATTGGCAGCTGCCACTTTAAATTTTACTCTATCATTTTTCACTAGTAGGACAGTGGATGCCAACATCTCTGCCAAGTAAATATCACCTTAACAGGTGACAATCTGAATAACAGAACTCTTTTCTAACCAGACATCAGTAAATACTACCTTTTTACTGTTAAAATTAGAACATGTTCAAGTTTAGAGGTGACACTTTAATTTCACTAGTGTATTGGGCTATCAATCTTGATTGTACTCAGATCTGCTTGCTCATAATTGATTGCTACCCCTTCACATTTCAGCCTAACCACAACCCACGGAGATCAGCCCAATAGGTTCAATGTGGGTGTAAAATACATGCTTGRGGACTACGAAAGGTAATGGTTATTGCATTTGTTTTCATCCTTTTCAGATTTTGTTCTATTCTTGACACAATTGTAAAAACAGACAATGTTATACTCCATTGTACTTGGAAATCTTTCACTATTCAAGACCTGAAATATATTACTTAAAAAAGGAAGCCTTTCATTTTATTTACACATTTCAAGCAAAMTGTTTTACAAGTGGCTATTTCAAACATCCTAACTATTTAGGTCTGAAACACAACATAGGTGTTAGCACTTACAATTATTTAGATATGAATCAAATATTTTGTAGGTATTTTTTTTTACATACGAGAGAGCACTTTCAGATAATTATAACATTTACTCTTACAGAATGGTTTATTCATAAACATTCACTTCATGATCCTACAGATAGGAAAAYACAAATATCTTACAGAGAGTAAGTTTTTAACTGAAGAAACTTTCTATTAATGTCAGTACAAGTTTTTCAYCACAAGTTAGGCATACAATTGTTTGCATTAATGGCCAAGGTGCATTTAGCCAGGCAAAGCAAGCTGGTGAAGGAGGTGTGGGRAGAGCAGGTGCTTTGTTAATTCAAAAGTAGCAAACTTTGATCTAAACAATTCAGRCCGACTCATAACAAATAAGTAATAGAGTATATGCTTGTAAAGCAATGTTGCAAGAGAAAATAGTATGAAAACTATTACAGGAGGGTTTATTAAAAAAYAGATTTTTCAGTAATGCAAGACTTACTGACAGTCCCTATTATGCTCAACTGCAGCTTATAATTAAAACTAATCTGAGAGAAGAGGAAACTGGATTTCCTGTGCTTCCTATAATGCACATAAGAAAGTTACCACTGTTCCACTTCATTGTCTCCAGTTTGCTATAACTACTCCTCAAGTTCTCCCACTCCTCTTTTCATTAGCTCATATGATAGGGTATATGCAACACCTCCTATAAAGCAAACATCTATAACCAATGTCTCTGGCTTTTGTAACAGGTCCAGGAAGAGACTATTTCCATTATTTGAGTTTCCTTCATTTTTCTCTACAAAAAATGAATAATGTTTACATTATCTAAATTTATCTGACTAATGTTTACAGATCGTTTTTTCACAGAGCTGACAAAATAGTAAAGCATCTTTTTTTCCTGTTATTCTGCTACTCACTTGCCAAAAAAAGCCCTCAGTAAAGACGGAATTTACTTCAAAATTTCCCTCATCACCTTTGATAGGTGTGTTTCTAAATTTGAATTCTAACATCAAAGGGCCCTGCACGAAAGGCACATTCATTCTGCAAGCATGATGATTTTTACTATGAAGGATAAAGAAAAAGTATTTTTTTTCCTTGTTAAGTAACAAATCAACCCATCTCTCCACTAAACAATTTTTGGGCATTATCTTACTTTAAACCTTTGGAGTTTTAAAAAAGCAAGTAGTACATCATTTAGTGTACAGAGATTAAATACACAAAAATGTAACATTTAAACAGTCTAAGGCTAAGTATATACTTTCAACACACTTGGGCTTTACTCACTAAAAATGCCCACACTCATCACATGATTACCCTGCCACCTCTGCAGAATTCAAAAGAAGTGTGATGTATGGTTTCACAACAGGAAATGTGTTAGCACTGACCAAAATGTGATCATTTCCTCATCTGCACAGATGAGAGGAAAGGAGAGGGGGATCAAAACTAGAAGGAAAGCAACAGGCAACAGTGAAAAAASAGCATTGTACGGCAGAGTAAGATATATAGTAAATGAATACATAAAAGTACAAGTCACTATCATTTATACTAGGGTCTCTTCACACACTCATATCAACTGTTCTCTCAAATATTTTAGTATTTATCATATTGCTGTTCCACACATCTAGGACAGCAGTTACCTACAAAGAGGTGAAAAGGTTGGGGGGATAAAAAGCAACTCTTCAAAACAAAAAACCTCCATGAAGTCCATAGTTGCCTCCAGGAGTCTATTTCAATGCACGACTTTCTTGTATTAATGAGTAGGAGTGCATACCTCAGTGCTTTGTTTTGCTTTTCTTTTTTTAAAATGAACGGTTTGGTGTGCCAGGTTTGTCTGAAAAGGATTATTTACACTTACCAACTGTATGAACAGACCAGTCTCTCACTGGCCTGGGCTTGGAAGCGCCACCGCAAAGAACTTGCATCAATGGAGGCATTGGAGCAGATTTTACATATGAAAACCTTCTCACCTACCAAGAAAGGAAATATGAAGGAGAGAACATCTTTTATGTGAAAGCAGACAGGAAAAAAAATACAGAAAAAAAAAAAGGATTAACATTTAAAATATATCCTTAAGCCACACCTCATCTTTCTAGTGATCTCATAGCTAATTAAGATGTCTTACATAATGGTCTAGGCAGTTAAAGATAACAGTCTGTTTTATCAGCAGACCTATTGCATTTAAATTTGACTTCCACTATAAGCATAATCAAGAAAAACTGGCCAAAACCCATTTCCAAATTCAGTTTTGACCTTTTCCTTGAATCGAAGTTCAGAGTAGGCTGAAAGTCAGCTGTCTGCATCACCAATTAAAAAAAAGAACAAAAACACATGCACACACAACACAGAAAGAGGAAGTGTGGCAGAACAGGAAATTTTCAAGAGACAAAAGAAAATGACTTTCCCTTAATATCATTTCAACTTAATGAAGAAGGAATTTTCTGTAAAGATTCTCAAGATACCATTTAGGTAACAAATACATAGAAACAAAAAAAATTGACAAACTTTGAGAGCTATATGCTTAAAGGACTGGGTTTTCCTTTRGTCTGCATTCCCAGCAAATTTCTAATCTACAATTTTTAATTGCATATTTTTCTTAAGTACTATAAATATGACAAAATAACATCTTTTTGCAAAAAAGACTATCAAAAACAGACAAAAATASATCTATTTCCATTTTTTAAGGCCAAAATCAAACACAAAACAAATAAATTTGAGTTTATAAATAATCTGTTATCTATTAAACATTAGTGTAGTGGATATCACATTATGTGCTCATTACACAGTCAGCATGATGTGGAGATCAAAGCATTTTTGTTTAACTCCAATTGCCAATGGTGAAGCAAACACTGGGAGGTTAATGACATTTTCAGCAGCAATGGTTTGACAACTCGATATATCTTCAGAGGTAATAAGCAACTTGTTGTATGYTTGATGAAGGTGGCAGAGCAGGTCAGAAACTGGAGATAGGAAATAAGCCATCATCTAGAATAGGGACTGCAAATTCAGAATTATTTTGGTTATTTTCTGCAAAAGTCGAATCCATTTGAGCATGGATTTGACCATGTGCCTACGCCTGTACCTGAACACCATCAGCGGTGGCAGGCCACATTCCCTAGCTAGCTTCTCAGGGAAAGCCAAACCTCCTTTGGACGCAACTGYCTTTCTGGTGCATTTTGAGCACAATAGTCAGCTGCCTTTCTGCAAAGCTAAGGACACCGAATAGGGCAGACATCTGCCTGTCAGGCCGCAGCAGACCTGCTACCACTGACACTGGCAGCCATCTGTTCAGGGGTGCAACAAGATGTCCGCCAGGCCTCTGGGGGGCACAAAATGCCCACCAGGCCTGCCAAGGGGGGCACAAAATGTCCACCAGGCCTCTGGGAGGGAGCAGGGGGGCACAAAATGCCCACCAGGCCTCTCCACAACAGCACTTTGAGACCAGCCTCCTGCACGGGGCACCTGCTGCCATGGCTGCCCTCCCACACCACCCCAGCCACCCRCCAAGCCGCTGTTAAGCCAAGCTCCTTCCTGAAGCTGGCCAGTTTTGCTGCATTGCCAGGTCCTTTAGGACAGGTTCTCCACATGCTGATTTATGTAAATATTGTCACAATCAGCTAATTGGCTCCCCACTGCCCTATCCACCCACTCACTGCGCACATTGCAGAGCAGATTCCAAAAGGCAATAAATGAAACAGAGCATTTCCTATGCTATTCACTCAATTAAACCTCTTATTAAACCCCATGGCATGCATGCTTAGCTCAAAAAAAGGGATTTACTTTTTAAATGCCTAGAAGATGGAACAGATCCAAAATTTCCAGGCAGAGGATGATGCAAAGAATGCTCTTATGTGGAAAATTCAGAATTTCTAATACAAGTGACTTTTTTGGCAGGATGATGGACTTCATATAACTATGGCAACCTGAAGTCAGTGTAAACAAGTTTCTTGAACAAGACAAAGAACCTAGAGTATCTGTCAAAGAACCTAGAGTATCCGTCAGAGAGGCTTCCAGTAGAAGTTTGGCATCAAATTCAGAACAGAAAAACAAAGGAGAAAGCTTTTTAGAAAGTGAAAATGAATTGAACTTAGAGCTGGAAAACCAAGAGGCTATTAAAAATACAAATATCAGTAAATTGATTTTAAAGTTGAAGTTAAATTCTTATCCTTTCCTAGCCACAGTGCATCAGTCCAAGAAAAACCTTCTGAATTGCCTGGCAGATGATGCCCCTCTGAAAGTGGCGAAGTGGCAACAGGCAAAGGAGTAGAGGGTTTTTTTTGTTTGTTTGTTTTTTGTATTATCTTTATCATAATATACTTGATATACTTTTTCCATAGCTGTTCTATGATATAAACCCTAAATCAGAATTTCAGTAAATAGATCCACAGTCAGGAAAGTAACTCAAGCATATCCTAAAAGATTAACATTCCCAAATGCCACAAAAAACAACACAAAAACTTGCCTGTTCCAAAACAGGATCAGAGTGCTCAGGTGTCACATATTCACTGAGAGAGAACAAACTGGCCATAGGTTAAAAAAGACATACACACACATACACACCTTTTCCTCTAGAAATGCCTTTTATAGCACAAAAGTACTCCTAAACAGAATTCAGTATTCAGCTGCATTGCTCTTCTCTGCTCATCCTTCAAGCAGTTAATTGGAAGTGGTAACATACGGACAGACCATAAACCTTACCCATATGCTGTAAGCCATTGCATATGCTACATCAGGGAGGGCCTGAAGTCTTGTTTACTTGCAGTGCTGGCAATGAAAGGGTTTGATGCCAGCATGGATCCCCATGTGTCTTGGCAGCACTGGTTTTGAAGAATGTTTCCTGTCATGAGGGAAATAAGCCCTGTCACTGCTGGAAAATTATCATCTATTTTTCTAGCATACATGGTCTGATGGGATGGCATTTCTCAGCTACTGTGTTAATTCAGGCTTTTAATGACTTTTATTGTGCCTATTTAAGGCTACAAGTTATATAGGAAAATGGATGTCAACAGTGGAAGGATGACAGAACAACAATTCCCATCTGACCTCACTACAATCACATGCTTCATTTATTTTATCTTTCAAATATTTATTTATATTCTCAGGATATTCACTTTCCTGTGCTCAAGCAATTTACTAGCAACAAGTAGAGCATAATGCAACCTAATCATAATGGATTGTTGCATTTCGTCTAAATGCTGCAGTTAAGCTTTCTAAGACCATCTTGGTCTAGATGAGGACAGATTTATCACTGCATGACTCAACTCTTTCAGTCCTACAAATAGAATTTACCTTAATGGAAAATTAATGCCCATCATAATTGCATGTTCACTTATAAACAGAGAGAATATTTCTAGGAAAAAAGTTGTAAAACATTTGAGAAGGCCTATACAGGCTACAGATCTGCTCCAAAAATTCCTATTTGCCAGATTCTTCCCAATACCATGCTTATAACAACTTTAAAATGTCTAACTCTCAAGCACCCAAAGTTCCTCAAACCTCAGCAATTGGAAAAGTTGGATCTTCACAAATTTGTAAACAAGTCTAAGGCACACAACTTTAACAAATAGTAACTTTAAATGGAAAAATGCAAGTATAAACAAGGAGGAACCTTACAATTCCTGTCCTACAAAAGTCTACTATGGTAGGGGCTTATAAAGGGGCTTGCATTTCTACCCAGATTCTTAAGCAATACTCTAAAGTTAACAACGTCCTATTGAAACATAGCTGTAAATCATTAATTACTAGGTAAATACTAATTGCAAATACATGCACTGCACATTCACATGCTGTATGTAATAAACAGTTACTCATTTCTTAAACTATGTATAAGGACAGTACAGATATTTTGTGACACAATTGTGAAGGCATTTAAAGTCCTATCTGATAAACAATATAAATTAAAAAAATATAYTTTGGACATAATTTATTCATGTTAATTCTAAAATTAGAGAGAATCATTCAGCTACTGTTTTACTGTAACAGTATTTAAAACAAGAAAGACTCAAAAAGACACTTTATGTTCAACAATGTATAACTTAACACTTTCTTGCCCCAGAGAAATAAAGATTGTGCTGATCACAGAATATATTTGCATGAGAGAACTAAAATAACTAGGGAAGTTAAAAACTGTTCTGTTTTTTAGCAGATTAAAAAGACAAGAGCTTAAGCAGAGAACCAAGAACCTTCAAGGAAAAATCTGGAATTTAAACAGTAGATTTCAGAATGAAAGCCATCTCTGACAGAAGTTGTGCCATTCTAAACAACTTTTGAATAGTYTTTTTTCCCCCCTTCTTTGCAATTATTCAAGGACAATACAAATAACAATCTGAAAGATCTCCTATTCTAAACTACTAAATGAAAGTTTCTTAAGAGTTATGAGAAAATGGAAAAAAGGCTAACCAGAGAAATTCTAACTTTAAGACTTAGACCCTCTTCCCCCTGTATTTATACACTCCATTCTAAGAAGRAAATTTATCATATTATAAACAACCACAGGAGGCATCAGTTGGGTACACCCCAGGCATTTTGTAACTGTCTTTGACTATAATTTTTACATGCTGGTAACACTTATGTCCTCTGTTCAGGTTTGAGAAAAGTAAATATAAATGAAAAATATTTTAAAGTTGACTTTTTACAATTTATGCCTCATTATCTCCCAGTATTCTCTTTGAATTGAAATGTTTAAAAATCACAGGCATTGTTTAAAAAAAGACATCRTTGTATCCTTGTAAGAGAGATGTATGAATTTGTATGAATGAAAAATAACCATGTTGAATGGATTCCCAGCTTTCTGGGAATWGAAAAAAATGGCTAAAGGAGCATTTTTTTTTCTAATTGATAATAACAACTTGAAATATAGAAAGTAAATATTTAAAAAATGAACAAACCTTGTGGTTTGAAGTCACCCAAATACTAAGTAAYAATATTATTGGGTTCTGGTTTCTGGCCTTTTTTCTTTTAAAAACATACAGAGATCCAACATCATCATAAYAAAAAACAAATCTTAGTATGGGACTACCTTTTACTACAGACATTAGATAGACTTTGTTTTGTTTAGTAAATTCTACTGCTTAAAACCAAAAACAATAAATAATGGCACTTCACACATTCTACATATCCTTGCAACAAATGATTTGGGGAGGAAAATATCATTTAAAACTAACACTGACACGAGTAAGCAGTCCATATTGAGGTTTACAAGCAGAGWGGAACACTGCAAAAATGTTTTAGAAGTAAAATCCAGTATAATGCTGTTCCTTTGCTGCCCTCTTCTGGGAAAGAGAACAGTCAGGAATGTATATGTTCCCTGCATACTGTTAAACTGTTGTCCCAGTGTTAAATTGTCAGAGACATGGTAAGTCTGGTAAAGGAATTTTAAAAAGCTTTAAGTAGATTTTAAAATACAGTTTTCCCAAATGAATCTGTTGAGCTACGTCTAATGAAAGATGCCTCTGGGAAGAGGAAGAAACAAGGGTATCTGTGCAGGGCTCTGGAACTGCACACGGCAGTGGGCCTCAGCATTCAGAGGTACCTTGAGCAGAGTAGGGATCTCTCTGGGCCTGTCTGAGCTCCTGTGGATGGCAGTGACATAGAGGTTATAGACAGAGCTGGTAGTTAGTCTGCTGCTCTAAGAGGTCATAAGAAAGCGGCACAGTAAACAGGAAGTTTTTGTTTTACAGATGGCCCTGCAAACCTCAACTCTTTTGAGTTCTCCTATCTAGCAACCAAGTTATTCATCTCGATGGCCATGCACTTCATATGTTCAGGGATTGCTCCAAAGCCCCATGCAGCAAGCACTTGTTCTGCTTCTGAAACAGAGGCCAGGCAACACATCACACAAGTAAACCCAGAATAAAACCAATGCTGCCATATGCTTCAGATCTAAAACAAGTTTTAATGCTATATTGATGCCTCAGTTTATAATTGAAACAAGTAATGGCATTAAAAAAAGCCTTAGTAGAAACATCAGAGCAGCTTGCCTTTATTTTGTCATTTGACATGACTGAAATGTACTTTGATTATGACAAGGTTTTATAACCTTCTACTTAATTAAAAAAACACACATGTCTAAGTCAAAGATATCATTCATATGTGAGCCTACTCTATTATGAAAGCTGCTAATTCACTACAAGTAATCAAGCCCTTGACTATCCAAGCACTAATGCTTTAAAACACTTATTTCAAGAAGCTACTGAAACAGGTATTTATTTCTACACAAGCAATAACTTCACATGAGCAAACCCTATTTGCTACAGACCAACAATGACTTCAGTCCCAAGAAAAGGTGGGGTGGCAGGTGGAGTCCAAAACTAATCCATTTGGGAAGGCACTCTGGTAATATGAATCATTTGGCTTAAAATGCACTAAAGTTATTTGGAATTTCAAGTTGTCTAGTTAAATTGAAGATATCCATTGTGAAAATGTTTGCAATAGTTTGATAGGCATATGAATGGCAACATACCAGAAAATCAAACATCCCAAAACAAAACACATACTTAGAAGAAACCTAGAGAAACAGAATGTACACTGCACTAGTGTTTTAAAAGCTTCTTCTAAGCTGAACTGGCTCTTATGGGAATATTGTGTGATGTCAACTCAGACAGGTGGCTACCAAAGTCTTTAAGTTTTTGATATGAAATTGAAGTCTTGATTATCAATAAAAAAAGCAAAGATCTTTTCAGAAAAGTATTAGTTTAACTTCACTGGCAGAAAACACCAGATGCCTCAAAYTCTTTTTGGTAGGAACAGTGACCTTGAAGTCAGGCAAAGTATTAAGGTACACTTACAGCTGCRTAGAAATTGAATTCTGTATTAGCAGATAAAATTAACAGTGCAGTAAATACACATCTTTAAAAATCTAACCATGACTGCCAAAGAAGCTGAAAATTRCCACATATTTTTCCTCTAGTTTATGTGCAAAATTCCAAGCAGCCTTATAGCATTATAAACACAGCACATCTCTTGTCTTTAAAGAGCATATCCCTTTGGCTCTTTTTTTGCCATTGCTTCTAGTAAAACTTAAGAAAACCATTCAATCCATTCTGTTTCTTTATTGAAAAGAACTATTATCACAGACCTATARAAGATAGAACTACTTGAATTATGTATCTAACTGCTTTGGCTATTTGTGAACATCTTTCAAGGGGGAGAGRAAAAACGGAGAAAAAAACTCACTCTTGGCTACAGCTGTCCAGTTCTCTATTAATTGCTCCACAATCAAGATCTATGGAACTGCACTGAGCATAAAATAGTTTTGCTATGATACAGGCTGTATCTACTGCAGGGGCAATTCACTTGAATGCTTTCTGCTTTAATAGTGTTTGTATCGGAGTACACAAGACTTGGCTTGCTTGCTTCTTCTGTTTTTCTGATAGATGTGTTTATGATATCCAACCCATTTCATCTGATGTCTGGTTTTGAATGCCCAATCACATAATGAATGAAGTGTCTAGAAGCTGTAATTTTTGTATATACTTTCATCTCTGTCCTGAAWAATCATGAAAGCAATAAACTACTTTAAAAACAAAAAACAAAACAGTATCACTACTTTATATGTGATAATGTGACTGGTATATGTGACTGAAAATTCATAATTTTGCATAAACTTTTACCTGAAAGTTAAGATTTTTGAAAATTGTAACCCTCAAATGACTACACTAAGAGAAAAAAGGGGTAATAATTCTTTATACTCCAAAAACACAGACAAAAAAAGAGCTCCCGAAAACAATTAAACAAACTGAATTTAAATATTTAACTATAGAACAAAATCAGAGTTAAGTTACTGAATTTAGGTAGCATTGAGAAAATTACTGTTTTACTTTTGCATATATTATAAATAGAAAGAAATATATTAACAGCAATATCCTTCTTGGATGCACATTTTAATTTTAAAATTGCTATAATACTGCTCAGTACAGACAGAACTGAAAGTGAAGCAAGTACAAGTAACATTTGGAAAGTCACTACTGTGRATTGACAACTTGGGACCAAAATAAATATCCCTGGACTTTTAAGAATGACATAGCAGAAGAATCATGGTTGTCAGGATTCTCATTTGACCTGGATCCACCTGGATTTACCAAAATGAAGTGTTTTTACCATCATACAGAAGCCTCAAAAAATGCACAGCTTTAGTGGACTTTTCTAACTTGCTCCAACTTAATTTTCCAAAAGTCATCATACACAATGATAAAATGTAATTATTTACATAATTAAACTAAACTGTAAAGATTTAATAAACTGGTCACAATAAATTGTACTGGAATATTAAAYTTCCTCTTTTCCATTGTTTTAAGACTATGTTCCAATTACATTGTAAAAACTAACAAACATCAAGACCAAATGCAATCACAGGCATTTATAAACTGAAACGTGAGTTTAAAACTGTGCTGCATACACATTTAAATACATAACTTATTTTAAGTACTGGAAAAATAATATGCCTGTTATATGATTGAGAAGATAGCATTGGTTTCAGAAGAAAGGGAAGCTGATGTACTCATGTCACTGAAAAGAAGCACTATGTCTTTGACAAAGAACACTTTCACCCATCGAAAATATCATTTGGCACAGTATCACACTTGATAGTTTGTGTGTTATTGCTTTGAATAAGCCAGTTATTTTTGCAACAAAGTATCAAAAACCCTCTCTAGTCCCAACAGTATACAAACAAAATAAAATAAAAAAAGTGATTTAGCTGTTGTATTTGTTGAATTGATCAACTCCAGAACAATTGCATCAACTCTGGAAGTTGTTAAAAATACACTATCTTTAGCAGCACATATCAACACTCCCCTGGGGCTTGGTAATGAAAGACATCTCAGCACAGACATCTCCTGTGAAGAGCAACTGCTCTTCACAGGAGGAGAAAAAAGCAGTTTTCCTTCCCTCAACTTCCCTCCCTGCCTTTGCTATTATTACCAATTCCTTTTAAAGTGATGGGACAGCAAACAACTATATTACAAATCCTGCTGGTTTATGGAGTCTATACAGTGACAGGGGAGGGTGTAAGCAGTTGCCAATTTTATGATTATTCACAGATAAAAGATATGTTATGCTTTGAGATAGGATACTCAAGATGCCATTATAAGTAGACACTTACCTGATCCATTGCTCAGTGCACTGCAGCTCCATGAGGTCCATGTTCCAGTGGGGTCAATGGTCAAGACAGCACCACCAACACCAAACACGTTGACATGTCAGGATGGAGCTGAGCAGGGTCTAGATGTGCCAGGACCTAAGGAAGAAATATRGAAAACTTCTTAAAACATGCTGAAGAGTTCAGCACTCTGGTAACCAAGTTTATTCAGCACATACTGCTAAAGCTGATGGATTTTTTCTTCTGTTTTGTAATATTGGTATATTAGGGTAGAATCCCAATGTTTTCCCTCCTCCTYAGCATTCTCATAGAGCAGACATTCAAGGAATTGTAAATCCCTCTTCCATTACTTTAAATAAACTCAGTGTTAAAGATAAACAAAACAAGCTTAAAAGAACTAAACCAAGAAACAAACAAAAAGCAAGAACTGCCAAAATTGAAGTTGCTTTGATAATCTTGAATTTGCTGTGTTTTTGTTTCTTTTTCTTTTTTTTTTTTTTTTTTTTTTTTCATATATTATTTGCTCACTAAACAACAGACCAAGATTAGCAATGCACTATCGAGCACATACACCGAAGCTCGGTGGCAAAGTAAGGGGAGGAAGCGGGGAAGAAGTACAGCACTTCCATTATACTGATTGAAGATTACACAAGACCATCCATCCACACAGATGATGGTGTTTGACCACAGCTTTTCTTTACTTGACATGTGTAACTTGTTTGGAGAGTTATTACTTGCAAAAAAACACACAGAAGTCAGAAAATTTTAAAATTCCAAGTTTCACTTGGAAGCACTATATAGTAGAGAACTATACACAGGCTACTAGCACCTCTGAAATCTGAAATTAAGGTATTAGGGAGTGCCAACCACTGCATTCAAAGATGGGGATTCTTTTTTAGTTCCTTCAAGAGATTTATAAAAAGTCTCTAATCTTCCCTTCCCCAAAAACCACAGTTTCCATCTACATTTTCATCCAGCAGCAGATGATGTTCAGTGAACTGTAAAGCCTTCCTCCACTGACTAAAGTTTACTTTTATACATACTTGTTTCAAAGATAGCTAGCAGCAAAAAAAAAAAAAAGAAAAAACACCTCCACTCTAAAAAAGTAAATAGAAGTGAAACATTACATTAAAATGTTAGACATTTACTGTAATACTTATAAAGTTTACAAAGTACAATTTTTAGTAGTTAATATTTAAAAAAGCTACATTCATAAGAAGTATCTCCTGTATTCAGTACACGGATGCAGTTTGCACCTGCAAAAATAGCTGCACAGGTGCTTGTAGACCTTGATCCATTGCTTTTCTGCATTAAAAGCTATATATTTGTTAAAACATTTTGACCAGATTAAATGCATTAACTGAACATAAAAAGAAAAAATATTTCTCCATATTAAACCACTACCAACTTTCAAGTTCAAATGTAAATGCTGTGCAGTTTTTACAAAGTTTTTTAAGCTATACAAAGCTGGATGTGGCTTAAATACAATGTTCTTGAAGAAAAAGAAGCAATTGTTCATAAGGAATATTCAATTTGATCATGTGGGGCTCTGATGGCCAAATCAAGGTTAGTTCACCACTAGGGACACTAGGTTCACTAGGCTTGAATTGGTTTCAAATTCTACTTCTCTCAGCAGTTGTCAAACTACAAAGTCAACCAGTTTTTGAAGATTTCAAGACACAGTTTAAAATGAGTTAGCAAAAATATACACTTACAATGGAATAAGGGCAATTAGTGATTTTTTTTAATAAAGCCTAAAGATACTTGGGATACTTTGGAAACAAGCTAAGTTTTAAGGGATCGTTTTAGCATGAGCTATACCACCCAATCCATGTCCCTTTTGGTCTAAGCACATATGCCAACAGCCTAACCTTGGGCTGAAGGAAGCCTGAGGCTTTTATAATGCATTTTGCCTAGACAATTTCTGCTTAACGAGAAACATAACCAAGACTCCTAACTTACACACAGATTCACAGGCCAAAAACAGGGTGCACGAGCAGCATGATCTGACAGTGACCCCTTTCTTCTCCAAACCAGGTGCTTGCTTTACAGGAGTGAGTGGCACGGCAATTAACACTCAACTCCCTAGGCTCCAACCAGAACAGAGAGCTCATATTGAGACATCCAACACCTAGGCAACAAGAAGGGCCATCTTTGCAAGATTTTCTTCATTTTCTTTTTTTCCCCTTGGTTAACTTCACCCCCTATGCTGTACAACTCACTTCCACCTTGGTCTGGCCCTATTTTAAGGCGCTCTGAAATCTGACATGCCGTATCTATCTCACACGTGCTYGTGAGGTGGGTCCTGGTCTTGCTTTCAGGGCTGCTTGGGAACTGACAGAGCTGGTACATTCTAGTCACCACCAGGAACATTTCCACACGGGCAGCATCTCGGCTCTGAGGGAAGGCCCCAGGGAGGGCAGCAGAGCACCAGGACTGGACATTGGCACCTCCTCAGCAAGGTGCAGGGTGCTTCATGGGCCCATAGGTCTTTGTGCTTAAATTAATTCACCTGCAGTAACTGCAGGCAAGTAAATCTACAAAACAAAGCACAAGCAGAACAGTTAATACCTACAGGAGGATTTTAAGTGCCTTTTATGAATGCTGTAACTCCCAAGGAAACCAAGGTTCATCTTCTCACCTTAGAAGCACCTGCAGAGCTTCAGTTGATTGAAGGGAAAGTAGATCTCCTTATAAAAAAAAAAAAAGACCCAAATCATTTAAATCAGTTTCTATAGCAAARAATAAACACCCTTCCCGCAATTTTGTATAAGCTCCCAGCATTAACCGTTARCGGGCACACACTACAGGTCTCGCGGTGAAACACACCAGCGAGGAACCGCATCCCCAACACACCGAGGGCCCCGGCGCACCCTCCGGCACAGCCGCACCACGCACAGCCYGCCAGCGCCTCGAAACGGCGCGTGGGCTCCGGTCGCAACCAAAGGGGCCGTCCCCAAACCGGCCCCACGGGCGGGGCCGTCCCCCATCCCCCGACAACGGCGAAACGGGCGGCGCCGCCGCCAACGGCTCCTTCTAAGCGGCGCCTGCCGAGCAGGCCCCGCCCGCCGAGCAGGCCCCGCCCCCTGAGTAGGCCCCGCCCCTTGCCTACGCCCCGCCCCTTACACCCCGCGCTCAGGCCCCGCCCCCTCAGCCCACCCTCCTTCCCCCCTCACCCCTCCGCGCTCAGGCCCCGCCCCCGCGTCGGCCCCGCGCTCGAGGTTCACTTCCGGCGCGCGCTGCCCCGACCGCCCCGGCGCG